ATAAGAGCATTCAACACACACACACCCAACTTGGTTGCTTCACTACATCGGCTATTGCTGCAAGTAATGACAGTGTGAATAAATTGTCAATATTTAAGGCCTTGCATGGTCTGGGGCTGATGTACTTGAGGGACCGTCTCACCCCCTCCCAACGCCAGAGATCCCTCCGTTCTGAGGACCAAGATCTATTGGAAATTCCCAGTGTCAAGACCTTGCGTCTAACAGCAACCAGGCGCAGAGCCTTCACTGCAGTGGCACCATCACTCTGGAATACTCTGCCACCTGAAGTCCATGCCTTGCGGGACTTATCAGCTTTCCACAGGGCATGTAAGACATATCTGTTTCAATGGGACTTTGATCTCTGAGATTGCTGTTTTTAAATTGTTTTAAATTGTTTTTAAATTGTGTTCGATTTTAGCCTGTTCTTGTAAGCCGCTCCGAGCCCCAGGGGAGTGGCGGCATAGAAGTTTAAATAATAAATAAATAAATATTTGATTGAGATAGTGCTTGCAGTTTTTTGCATCTCATAGACTTAGCATGGGGATTTGGTTAACCAGTTAAAATTCATGAGTAAACTGGGTTTTTTTAAAAAAAATCTGAACCCCTAACCCCCCCCCCCCCCCCCCCCCCCCCCTCGCTACAGGCCTGGTCACAGCAGCCAAGCACCGGTTCAGGACCTGAACAGCCTCCTTAGTAGCAGGTGGGAAGGAGTGACGTCATTTGTGTACAGGTGACACCGCATCCTGAAACTCCGGATGATCTCCACCAACAGCTTCATGTAGATGTTAAACAACATGGGAGACAGTATTGAGCCCTGCGGAACTCCACAAGACAATGGTTGTGGGGTTGAGCAGGTGTCTCCCAACAACTTTTGGGACCGGAGCCCCTGCAGAACAGTACTTCCAAGGCCCATTCCCACGAGGCATCCCAGAAGGATACTAACCAGGAACAAATGGACTGCACATGTGAACAAACATTTTCTCTCTTATAAATACTTCCTTAAGAATGTAGCCATATATTCTGGAAGGGGTTAATTTTCCAGATGTTTAAATCTTTTGACTCAAATGTTTTTTTTAAATTTAATGATACTTGCTCAGGATCTAAACATTAGTTCTGATCTGCAGCAGGATAAAGAGGTCACACAATAAGTAGAGAAGTGTTCTTGGTAGTCCTTTAAATCGCATGAGTGTCATGAGCAGATCACATGCATTTCATCAGTTCATCCCTCTCCAGCACAAGCCCTTTCAGAAACTCCATTCATTTCCAGGACTCCAATGTCCACCAGCTCCAGCCAGCTTGGAAAATGATCCGGAATGACAGAAACTGTAGTCAAAAGACCTGGATATGGCCATGGTGAGGAAGGTTGCTTTAGTTAAAATGCAGCCCTTGCTTTTTTGACAACTGCTCTGTAGCACAATGGAAACATTTAGGCTTTACTGTCAACCTATGTATCTAGAGAAATTGGAGCACAAGAAATGTCAATACAAAAAGGAGGAAAGGTCACAGCAGAACAAGAAGCAAAACACAGCCATGGTCAGTCAGGAAAGTAGCATTTTCAGCGAAAGCTGTTAACAAAGTCCACTGATAAGTTGCGCATCCCCAGGAGAGCAAGGCAAAAGGTAAAGCAGAAGAAACTAAGTTGCCATGCATGGTTTTTTTCAAGGTTACATGGGGGAAATCGCTCAGCCTTTGCACAACACAGGCACTCTTCTATTTCGCATTTGTGTGGCAAGAGCAAAACCTTATTCAGCACAAGGGGTCAGGAAGGTCCTATTAGAAACAGGTTTTATTTATTTTAGTTCTTGAGAAACTTTCACATTGGGGGGAAGAGAGGGCAAGCCGCCATAAATAGAAACATGCGTGCTTTGTGTGCAGAGAAGCAGGCTGGTATAATCGCCAGCATCTTCAGATGAGGCTGAGGAAGTCCGCTGTCCAAAAACATGGAGAGCTATTGCCACACAGTAATCAATACAAGAATTACATGGGCCAGCTGTTGATTCCTATCACTCTGAAACACTTTATTTTTTAGCATGATGTGTGTAAAGGATACTGACCTACCTAATCAAAAGACATAGGTCCCATCAGAGGTGGGCAACTAAAATGATCAAGCGTCTGGAGAACAAGCCCTATGAGGAGCGGCTTAAGGAGCTGGGCATGTTTAGCCTGAAGAAGAGAAGGCTGAAAGGAGATATGATAGCCATGTATAAATATATGAGAGGAAGTCACAGGGAGGAGGGAGCAAGCTTGTTTTCTGCTTCCCTGGAGACTAGGATGCAGAACAATGGCTTCAAACTACAAGAAAGGAGATTCCATCTGAACATGAGGAAGAACTTCCTGACTGTGAGAGCCGTTCAGCAGGGGAACTCTGCTGACTGCATCTCCGTATTCGAACCCACACACTCCCTCCGTTCATCCGGAGAGGCCCTGCTCACGATTCCACCTGCGTCGCAGGCACGTTTGGTGGGGACGAGGGACAGGGCCTTCTCTGTGGTTGCCCCATGAGTTTGGAACACCCTCCCCAAAGACATTAGGCTAGCACCCACGTTGGCAGTCTTTAGGAAGAACTTGAAGACCTGGCTGTTCCGATGTGCCTTTCCGGAATAGGAGAACCTCCAGCACTACGTCCCAGAAGCACTTTATTAGAGCTTAAGACTCTCTGCACATTGCACTTGCCCAGAATCCCAACATATCACCTCTTACACCCAGCACTTTTTAACCTGTACCCTTCATTGGCTCGGCCCTGGTTTTACTGCGTAAGAGTGTAATGTTTTGTTTTTTGTTATTGCTTATGTTTTTAATTTGCTTGCATTGTATTGTTATTGTCTGTTGTTGTTGTTTGAGGCCTTGGCCTTTGTAAGCCGCATCGAGTCCTTCGGGAGATGCTAGCGGGGTACAAATAAGGTTTAATAATAATAATAATAATAATAATAATAATAATAATAATAATAAAACTCTCTGCCCCGGAGTGTGGAGGAGGCTCCTTCCTTGGAAGTTTTTAAACAGAGGCTGGATGGCCATCCGTCAGGGGTGATTTGAATGCAATATTCCTGCTTCCAGGGAAGCAGAAAACAAGCTTGCTCCCTCCTCCCCGTGGCTTCCTCTCACATATTTATACATGGCTATCATATCTCCTCTCAGCCTTCTCTTCTTCAGGCTAAACATGCCCAGCTCCTTAAGCCGCTCCTCATAGGGCTTGTTCTCCAGGCCCTTGATCATTTTAGTCGCCCTCCTCTGGACACATTCCAGCTTGACGATATCTCTCTTGAATTGTGGTGCCCAGAATTGGACACAATATTCCAGGTGTGAACTAACCAAAGTGGAATAGAGGGGTAGCATTACTTCCCTGGAGTCTGTTGTTCCGTGGTCAGTTCTGACTGTTGCTATTTGGTCCTTGTACAGATTCATCAGGAGAGAGACAAGGTGGCTTGGTATGCCCATTCCACCAAGAACTTGCCACGATTTATTATGATCCACACAATCAAAGGCTTTAGAATAGTCAATAAAACAGAAATTGTACTACACAGTATACATTATATAGTTTGCTACATAGTAATGTCCAAGCTGATATATGTGCTTGGCAAGCAAGACAAAAGTATAGCATATACTTGAGTATAAGCCGACCCGAATATAAGCCGAGGCACCTAATTTTACCACAAAAACTGGGAAAATGTATTGACTTGAGTATAAGCCGAAGGTGGGAAACGCAGCTGCTACTGGTCAATTTCAAAATAAAAATAGATACCAATAAAATTACATTAATTGAGGCATCAGGAGGTTCAATGTTTTTGAATATTTATGTAAAACTGTAATTTAAGACTGTCCAACTCTGATTAAACCGTTATTCTAGTCTCCTTCAATGTAAATGTTCTTACGTATCCTTCCAATAATAATAGATCAAAATAATAAATGTAATAATAACAATAATAAATAGAGTAAAATAATAAATGTAATAAAAATAATAGAGTAAAATAATGTAAATTTAATATCAATAATAATAGAGGAAAATAATCTATATAAATAAAAGTGTAATGTTCATTTGTGGGATTAACAGAACTCAAAAAGCACTGGATGAATTGACACCAAATTTGGACACAAGACACCTAACAACCCAATGTATGTCCTTCACTCAAAAAAATTGATTTTGTCATTTGGGAGTTGTAGTTGCTGGGATTTATAGTTCACCTACAATTAAAGAGCATTCTGAGCCCACCAACGATGGAATTGAACCAAACTTGGCACACAGTTCTCCCATGACCAACGGAAAATACTGGAAGAGTTTGGTGGGCAGTGTCCTTTGGTTTTGGAATTGTAGTTCACCTGCATCCAGAGAGCACTGCATGATGGATCTGGACCAAACTTGGCACGAATACTCAATATGCCCAAATGTGAACACTGGTTGAGTTTGGGGAAAATAGAATCTTGACATTTGGGAGTTGTAGTTGCTGGGATTTATAGTTCACCTGCAATCAAAGAGCATTCTGAACTCCACCAACAATAGAAGTGGGCCATACCTCCCACACAGAACCCCCATGACCACCAGTGGGCCACAGCAGCGCGTGGCAGGGGACGGCTAGTAAATGTAATAAAAATAATAACAAAGTAATAAAATAAAAATAATAAAAATAATGCTAATAACAGAGTAAAATAATAAATAACCTTGGCTCGAGTATAAGCCGAGGGAAGCTTTTTCAGCCTAAAAAAGAGGCTGAAAAACTAGGCTTATGCTCGAGTATATACAGTAAGTGTGTCGCTAACAGTCAAGTATGGTTATTGCAAAACTAACAAGGACTGAATTCAGTGGCACACACATTAAGCCAAGGAAGGAGTACACAAGTGCAGGCCTTGTTCCCAAAGGACCAAAACATTGCTTGGTCCTAGTGCAAGGAGTACAAATTTCAAACCCAGTCAAGTGATGGAAACCATGGGACCCAGGATGATCAGTTATTTGGCATGACTTGATTTTCTGCATGTGATTTCATGAACTTTGAAACAGCCTTTACCTGACTTTCAAACCAGCTTCCCGAAGGGCTTTTGCTGTTCCTCCAGAGGCAACCGGGGCCAAGCCTAAAGAGCTGAGGCATTGTGCAAACTCCACCAGGCCAGTCTTGTCCGAGACACTGAATAAAGCTAGATGGAAAAGGGAAGAACATATATTTATTTATTTACGGCTTTTATATTCCGCCCTTCTCACCCCGCAGGGGACTCAGGGCGGATTACAGTGTACACATATATGGCAAACATTCAATGCCAATTTTGACATATAGACATAGACAGAGGCTATGTAACTTTTTCTGGCCGCCGGGAGCTGTCGCTTTTATCGTCCATCTGCGACGCTGATGAAGCACTTCCGCATTCCCCGCATGCTTCCCCGCTGGAATGCTTTTGCTGGAGTCTTCTTTATGGCCTCATAAATCAGTTAATTTAGCCTCCCCACACTAAGATGGTACCTTATTTTCCTACTTGACAGATGCAACTGTCTTTCAGGTTGCAAAGGTCAACAACAGGCTACACACAATTGGTTGGAAACCCACTCCAACCCGGGCTGGATTCGAACTCATGACCTTTTGGTCAGAGTGATCTTAATGCAGCTGACATTCAGCCAGCTGCGCCACAATCCCGCTGCACTTAGAAGCACTTAGAAGAAACACACAAGGCACACTTCTTCCACCCCTTTTATACTATTGAGTTTGCTGTGGTTCTGAACCAAAGAACTGCATGGTGTAGCTTCCACTAAAACAAAAACAAAGCTTTTAGAACATTGCTGGTCAGCAACTGGGTACAAGATATTCATTTTGAGGCAAATTTACTATTTTTTCTATCAGTGGGAATGGAAATTCTTCTTCACCAGCACCTTTTCTACTGACTGTTACCTAGTGGATGTCAGATGTGTCAAAACAACAACCTCCCATTTTCCCAAATCCAGCTGGCTGAGAGTAATGTGAGTTATAGTTGAATATATGGTTCCGTCCGGGTGTACCTGTCTGAACATATCTCCTTCTACGTTCCACCTTGAAATTTAAGATTTTCTGGGGAGGCCCTGCTCTCGGCCCCACCTCTGTCACAAACACAATTGGCGGGGATGAGGGACAGGGCTTTCTCGGTGCTGGCCCCCCACCTGTGCAATTAGCTCTCCGGGGAAATTAGATCATCTTCATCCCTCCTCTCCTTCAGAAAGAAGTTGAAAACATGGATGTGGGATGAGGCCTTCAGGGGACAAAACTGATAAGGATAATAACAATGCTGAGAATTTGCAATGGACATGCTTGGTGGAATCTCCAATCTCAGATAACAGCCATAAGGCTGTTATATTTAAGCATATTTTAACTGAATTGATTTAATGTTTTAATTGTATGCAATTAATGGCTTTATTGTGTATTTTATGATATACACATGGAGGCATCGAATCGTGCCGGCTGGAAGCCACCCTGCATCCCCCCCCCCCCCCGCCAAGGGGGTTGAGAAGGGTGGGGTACAAATATTTGAAATCTATATAAATAAAAATGTAATGTTTGTTTGTGGTATTCACAGGATAATGTTTCTAGAATCCAATGGTATATAAAATCCAGATTATCTGATTTGAACTGGATTATATGTCAGTGTAGCCTCATATAATCCAAATCAAAGCAAATAATCTGGATTAGATGGCAGTGTAGAAGGGGCCTATGACTCACCACTGCTGAGTTATAGATGGCCTCAGCCTGTCATTATATTCATTCTTCTTTTGAAAAATACCTTTCAAGCATTGGTCACTATAAGACTTTTATTCCAATAGCTAGCAATCTTCTGGCCTGGTTGCATGTTTTTAAACTGCTAAATTGGCAGAAGCTGGGGCTAACAGCTGGAGCTCACCCTGCTCCCCAAATTCAAACCTGCAACCTTTTGATCAGCAAGTTCAGCAGCTCAGCACTTTAACCCACTGCACAACCGGGGGCTCCGATTGTGGATTAACTGCCTTGATATTCTGGGTTATATGACAGTGTAGAAAAGGCCACAGAGGGCCCTTCCACACAGTCCTATATCCCAGAATATCAAGGCAGAAAATCCCACATTATCTGAGTGTGGACTCAGATAACCCAATTCAAAGCAGATATTGTGGGATTTTCTGCCTTGATATTCTTAATGTCAGGGAAATACCTTTCCACAATACGAATTCACAATATGTACTTTGAACTGGGTTATCTGAGTCCACACTGCCTTACATCCCACTTCAAAGCAGATGTGGGATGTTATTCAGCTGTGCAGAAGGGGGGCAATTCTCTCATACCAGAAGCGATTTGCAGTTTCTCAAGTTGTTCCTGACACACACACACAATTCAAAGCAAATAATCCATATTATCTGCTTTGAACTGCACTATATGTGGCTGCACTACCATATAATCCAGTTCAAAGCAGATAATCTGGGTTTTATATGGCAAAAGAGAAGGACCCTCTGGAGAAGGAAGGAGTGAAAGAGTGTCTGCACTCGAGAACTAATGCAGTTTAACCCCACTTGCTCACTGCTTAGGAATCCTGAAAGTTGTACTTTTACAAAGTACATCTAAAACACAGACATGTGCCTTTTATCTCAAGAACAGACAAGCATCCCGAGCTCTGAAGATCACCTGGGAAGGAATCCCACTGGAGCATTGCAGCGCACCCAAATACCTGGGAGTCACTCTGGACCGTGCTCTGACCTACAAGAAGCACTGCCTGAACATCAAGCAAGAAGTGGGTGCTAGAAACAATATCATACGAAAGCTGACTGGCACAACCTGGGGATCACAACCAGACACAGTGAAGACATCTGCCCTTGCGCTTTGCTACTCTGCTGCTGAGTATGCATGCCCAGTGTGGAACACATCTCACCACAGCTAAAACAGTGGATGTGGCTCTTAATGAGACATGCCGCATTATCACGGGGTGTCTGCGCCCTACACCACTGGAGAAATTACACTGCTTAGCCGGTATTGCACCACCTGACATCCGCCGGGAAGTAGCAGCCAATAGTGAAAGGACAAAGGCAGAGACATCTCCAGCTCATCCCGTTTGGGTATCAGCCAGCACGTCAACGACTTAAATCAAGAAATAGTTTTCTAAGATCTACAGAGACACTCGCTGGAACACCCCAGCAAGCGAGAGTCCAAAAGTGGCAGGCTCAAACCCAGAACCTCAATCAATGACTGGTACCAAATGAGAGACTCCCCTCTGGGCACACAAAAAACCGGGCAACTTGGAAGGCACTGAACAGACTGTGCTCTGGCACCACAATATGCAGAGCCAACCTTAAGAAATGGGGCTACAAAGGGGAATCCACGACATGCGAGTGTGGAGAAGAGCAAACCACAAACCACCTGCTGCAATGCAACCTGAGCCCTGCCACATGCACAATGGAGGACCTTCTTGCAGCAACACCAGAAGCACTCCAAGTGGCCAGATACTGGTCAAAGGACATTTAATCAACTACCAAACTCACAAATTTTGTATTTTGTCTGTTTGTTTGCTTTGTTCTGTTAGAAAGGTAATATAATTGACTGGTTAACCTGACACGACAAATACATAAATGAAGTTTTGGGAGCTCTCTAACAATGAGTGCTGGCGCCTCTCCAAATTGCAAATCAAGCACAGCATGGGCCCATGGCACTTAAAAGGGGTGCCAAACTGCATTCGTGCTCCAGTGCAGATGCACCCAGATCCTCCCCCTGCTGCAAAAAGGCTTCCTGTGGACTCAACTCTGTGCAAAGGCGTACAGCAAAGCCCAGCTCGCCTCCGCCTGGCATAAAGATCCTGCTCTCCAGCAAGGAGATGAAGCTTTTTGAAAAGCAAAACTGTTTACCCAGCTCTTGCCCTGCAGCCATCTTTGCAGCGATTTCCAGGTGATCCAGCGGGACAGAGAGAGAAAGAGAGAGAGAGAGAAAGCAAGCCCCACAGGGATGGAAGGAAAAGGGGGCGTGGGGCAGAGAAAGGGGTGGGATCAAGGTGGCATGCTGGGAAGACGAGGAAGGCTTAGGGGAGGGGAGAAGGGGGGCCTTGGACCCGCCCCTCCCTTGGCCAACCAGGGTGAAGACACAGCACAAAGGCTGCTTGTTTTGCAGTGGGTGGTTTTCAAAAGCAGTGAGGCTTCAAGTCTTTCCCCAACTTATGGTGATCTATATACACACAGACTTTATTAGCATGCAACAACAAAAGCACAACATAAGCAACAAGAGGAATCATAGAATCATAGAGTTGGAATAGCCCTCATGGGCCATCCAGTCCAATCCCTCTGTCAAGAAGCAGAAAATTGCATTCAAAGCACCCCTGACAGATCATAGAATCAAAGAGTTGGAAGAGACCTCATGGGCCATCCAGTCCAACCCCCTGCCAAGAAGCAGGAATATTGCATTCAAATCACCCCTGACAGATGGCCATCCAGCCTCTGTTTAAAAGCTTCCAAAGAAGGAGCCTCCACCACACTCCGGGGCAGAGAGTTCCACTGCTGAACGGCTCTCACAGTCAGGAAGTTCTTCCTCAAGTTCAGTTGGAATCTCCTTTCTTGTAGTTTGAAGCAATTGTTCTGCATCCTAGTCTCCAAGGAAGCAGAGAACAAGCTTGCTCCCTCCTCCCTAGGATTCTGCTCACATCTTTATACATGGCTCTCATCATGTCTCCTCTCAGCCTTCTCTTCAGGCTAAACATGCCCAGCTCTTTAAACCGCTCCTCATAGGGCTTGTTCTCCAGACCCTTGATCATTTTAGTCGCCCTCCTCTGGACACATTCCAGCTTGTCAATGTCTCTCTTGAATTGTGGTGCCCAGAACTGGACGCAATATTCCAGGTGTGGTCTAACCAAAGCAGAATAGAGGGGTATTTATTTATTTATTTACTTACTTCATTTGTATACCGCTCTTCTCAGCCATAAGGCGACTCAGAGCGGTTAACATAGCCGTTAACAACAATTCAGTATACACAATAGAAAATCATTGGACATTTAAAAACAGTAGCATAACAATTAATTAGACACCAAATATCAATACATCAATATAACAGATCCATCACGTCTCATCAATAAAATCAGAATCCAGTTTCATTATCCATTATTCCGTGTTCCAATAATCAATTACACCCAATTACACTGCTTGGTTGAATGCCTGTTTGAACAGCCAGGTCTTCACTCTCTTCCGGAATGCCAATAAGGAGGGGCCGATCTGATATCTGTAGGAAGGGCGTGCCACAGCCGAGGGGCCACCACTGAGAAGGCCCTGTCTCTCGTCCCCGCCAGGCGTGCTTGTGAAGCCGGCGGGACCGAGAGCAGGGCCTCCCCAGACGATCTTAATGTCCTAACTGGTTCATAGGAGGAGATGCGTTCGGACAGGTAGGTCGGGCCAGAATCGTTTAGGGCTTTAAAGGCTAAAGCCAGCACTTTGAATTGTGCCCGGTAGCAAACTGACAGCCAGTGGAGCTGGCGCAACAGAGGAGTTGTATGCTCCCTGAGTGCCACTCCTGTTAGCAACCTGGCTGCCGAATGCTGGACCATTTGAAGCTTCCAAACAGTCTTCAGAGGCAACCCCACGTAGAGAACGTTGCAGTAGTCTATACGGGATGTAACCAGCGCGTGGACCACCGTGGCCAAGTCAGACTTCCCAAGGGTAGCATGACTTCCCTAGATCTAGACACTATGCTCCTACTGATGCAGACCAAAATCCCATTAGTTTGTTTTTTAATCATTACATGCAGCCCACCCATTGTTTCTGTGCCTGTGTCTATTGTAATTCTTATATTGTTATGTATTCATATGTTTTATGTAATTATGATGTTGTTTATTGTTTGCGTTTTCCGTTGTGTTTTGGTTTTCTTTATTGTAATTGTTGTTTGTGCCTGACCCCATGTAAGCCACTCCGAGTCCACATTGGGGAGATGGTGGCAGGGTACAAATAAAGTTTATTATTATTATTATTGGCTTTTTTGCCGCCACATCACATTGTTGGCTCATGTTTAACTTGTTGTCCACGAGGACTGAAAGATCTTTTTCACACATACGTCCTGCTCTCGAGCCAGGCATTGTCCCCCATTCTGTATCTTTGCATTTCGTTTTTTTCTGCCTATCTTGCATTTGTCCCTGTTGAACTTCATTTTGTTAGTTTTGGCCCATCTCTGTAATCTGTTAACAGAGAGCCAGTCTTTTCATACAATTTTGAAATGTGACCATTTTAAACCAGGCTGTCTGTTTTGTGAAATGGATAGCATAGGAAAGGGTTAAAACCCCTTTAACATTTTATTTGCTATCTGTGCCCCTGTTCAGAAGATTTCATTTCCTTTCCTTTCCCTGTGACAATTGGATTTTGAACATTTTGGCTTGTCGTGGGAACATGGATTGGTGAGAAAGCTTCAGTGGGAACACCTTTTCCCCATGATAACCCTTTCAGAAGTGAATTTCCCTTCTGAGGGGCAGATTTCTCTCACTTCCTGTTGTCTCACCCCTGTTCTTAATTATGAGTTGCATGTAAGTCAGATATTTGTAACTTGGGGACTGCCTATACTTTCAATGGGGGTGGCTTTCATTTAGCCTTATGGATAGGTTTTGAACATATACTGAACAATTGGTATCTGCTGGGATTTAGTTCTAGGACCACCTGTGGATTCACAAATCTATGTATGCTCCAGAACCATTATATATCTATACCCCCCCCCCCCCCCCCCCCCCCCCCCCCCCCCCCCGCCCACGCTTTCTATCTCTTGATATGCTGTCCCTAATATGGAAACATCAGAGTATTTGAGTATTTGCAAACAGTGCCAACAAAGAGAAAAAAATAGGACAAGTGCAAAGAAGCTAGAATGGATGTCCAAAGAACTTCTAACTGTGCTAAGACACAAAAGAGACATGCACAAGAAGTGGGAAAAGGGAGAAATCATCAAAGAAGAATTCAAACTGGACTAATTCCAGCCTCCCTCTCCCTCTCTCTCTTTATGAAGCCAAACATGACAAGAATAAAAACCACACAAAGTCTAGTAACCCAAAGTGCCTCAAAGCAGACAAGAGCAAAGCAGACAAGAGCATGAGGCATGGAGGCTGATCCCTTGAAGTCCTACAGCCCTGTACTCTCACGCTAGTGCTCCCTCTGATGCTAGCTCTTAACTCAAATGCTGCTCTTATGTCAAAATGAAATCCAAGCAGAGCAATAGCTCTTAACTTGGGAGCACTCTTAAGTAGAGGTTCTACTGTACAATATATATATCTTGGTGGCTAGTGGTCCTATAGCACTGGGGTAATACATATGTTTCTAGATTTTATGCTAAACTTTAAAGGCCCTAAAGTGGGTTCACTGATGAACTAGCATCACCCACTAGGTGTTAAAACATGTAGGTGTTGCTAAAAAGAATAGGTTTGAATAGAAAGGGACGAGGACAATTTAAGAAATCAATTTAGGCTATAGTAAAAATACTATAGCCCTTCACACAGGGGCGGCTCAACCCATTACGCAAAGTAAGAATTTGCAGTATAGTTGATTTTGCCCAGCGGCGCTCTTGAGGCGCTCTTGGGGGAAAATAGAACTTGACATATGCAAGTTGTACTTACTGGGATGTATAGTTCACCTACAATCAAAAAGCATTCTGAACTCCACCAATGATGGAATTGAACCAAATATGGCACACAGAACTCCCACAATGAACAGAAAATATATATCAGTGATTGGTTGGGGGGGGGGGGTGCCAAAATACTGTTTGCTTACCGTTGAAAATTACCTAGGGCTGCCTCTGCCTCCACATTAACAGGTTTGACTTTTTGTGGATTTGTTTAAAAATATTTCAAGGACTCTCTAGTCTTCCAGTGTGAGTCTGTGGTCAACTTCCCCTGAGAACTGATCAAAGAGTCATGCTGGAGGAGCTAGAGATTCCAGGTAAAAAAGACATTTTATTCACTGTTTTTCACTTTCAGGAGGGCCTTATTTCCCATACCCCAGTGAATGTGGAGGGCTGACTACGTCCAGAAAATACAACCATTCGTGAACAACAGCTCTTGCATACCCAAGAAGCAATGGCTTATCACCTATTTCATTTTTGGCCTCCGCAGATCTGTGTACATGGGCCTGAAAGGATTAATGTTTGCCAAGTTCGAAGCCCCAGAAGGACCAGAGTCCAGTGGCAAAGCTCAAAAGGAGTATGTCAAAGATTTACTCATAAAGGGTGGCTCTAAGAGGAACCAATGGCAACATAGATGGCACAAGGCTTTTTGCACACCTCATTTTACTTTTGTTGGCCAATCCTTTATCAGCATTTTCCTTATCATGTTGGTCAGTGACACCCAGTGACTGACAGGCTGAAGCAATGGGCTTGCCCTCATCTGTAGTCAATCTCAGATTGAAACAGATGCTTGTTTGGGGACCTTACTCCTCAGGTTGCAATACATGATGACCAAATGATATGACAGAAATAGCTGCTTGAAAAAGACTGATGTTTGCAAAAGCAGCAAACATAACAAAGCATGCCATAGACATTTGAGATGAATGTAGAATGATTTTCACATTTTTTCTGAGCTTGTAGGAGTAAATTCCATTGTGTGACCTACATCTGAAAAAAGCCGTAACATAATTATATTTTTTTAAATGGCAGGAAAACATACATCTGACATGAATACAAGAGGTCAGAGGCAAAAGAGACAAATGATTTAGGAGTATATAACTTAAGTATTCTTTCTGAAAGCACAAAGCAAGATTTTGCTTTGTTCAAAACTTGCAGGAGGAGTGGATCAAATGAACTTGACTTTGTCCCCTAGTTAATCTGATTTGAAATTTTCTGTTGGACACTGGTTTACCAGATCTTTAAGTTTCCTGTTTCTTAAAGATAAGTGTGTGGGCATTCAGTGGTACCTTTGGAAACAAGTCGTCCAGGAATACCTGGCCACTCTAAATGAGTTCAAGTTCCCAGGACCAGATCAACTACACCCAAGAGTATTGAAGGAACTAGCGGAAGTCATTTC